TGAGAATTCAGTCCTTCAGCATGCCGAGGAGGTTTTTTGAGGGCAGGTCGGCTCTGCCTCTGTTTTGTCCTGCCGTGAAGTATGTCTCATCCGTTTGCTTCCATGCTACACCTACTAGCTCCTAAGAAAAGAAACAGTGTATCTGTGTTAGAGCACTATTTAGCCTGCATCCAACACTACTCGTAGAAAACCCAGATCCTTGGTCATGTCCTGTTTCCCATGGAAAAATGGGAAAAATGTGAATTTCTCCTTTACCTGAGAAGAATGCGGATTTTTCATTTTAACAGAGAAACATGCACATTTTGCATTTTTGCAAAGAGCTCTCTGCAGGCTGGCAGAGTTCCAGCCTTCATGGGGCTGGGGGGAGCAGGAGGAGGGTGGTCAGGCAAGGGTGTCATGTGCATGTACATGAACATGGCCTGCAGGGGTCTGGGTGGTTGGGGGAGAGCGGGGATTGAGGCCCCCATGGGGAGGGAGTGAGTGAGTTGGGCAGGGCTGGGGCCACTGTCCAGCCCAGTGGTGCTTGGGGCTGGGGCTGGGGACAGCCCTGGCAGCGAGCAGGATGGGGCTGTGGGCAGCTCGTGGGGGAAGGGGAGCCGGGCTTCACGCTACGCTAGGCTGCGTCATCTGCCACCTCCCGCAGGCGACAGCCAGGGCTCAGGTGCTGCTGCAGGGGGGCCAGGGGCTGTGTAACCCTGGCAGCTGAGAGCCTCCTCTGGCAGGGCTGGAGGCAGCAGGGAGCTGTGGGTTGGGGTAAGGGACACCAGGAGGACAGGTGGCTGGGGGCGGGTGGGGAGCGAGGGGCAGTAGTAGGGCTGGGGGTGCTGTGACTTGGGAGTGTGGGGCCTGGACCTGCATTCTGTCAGCTAAGAAAGCAGGGGTTCCTTTGATTTTCCAAGATAAACCCAAAATCAAATACCAAAATGTATTTAGAATTTATTTAGAATTTATTTTATTCTAGTGATTGAGGCAGTGGTAGGCTTCCAAATTGCTTTTAAATTATAAATATATCAATAAAATATTGTGTTCAGTTGATATCTCTCTATATATAGTGGTGTTTCATTTTCATTGTGGATTTTTGGGTTTTTCAGGCAGAGAATTTGCAATTTTTAATCAGTGAATTTGCATATTTTTAATCAGAGAAAACCAGGATCCCTGGACACGACCAAACATACACTTGCAGCATTCTCAAAAGGGCAGGGGAGTACCTGTTACATTCTCATTGCAACCTGTGCACAGGGTTAAAATTGGAGCAGTTTTGCTACATTTGTATTACTACAGGCTCCTGCACAGGTTGCAGGTTGGGATAAGAGCTGCTGCTTGGTCCTGAGCAGCAGCAGCTCGCTTTTCTGTTTTGAAATCAGTTCGAGTGAATCCTTGTCCATACCCTTAAGTTCTTTGCCTTAGATATACTTTTCTCCTGAAATTCTGTGCTGTTCTATGAAGGCTAGACTGTTTTATTTCTGGGATTTGGTACAAACAGATGATGAAAGAAGGCAGCGATCCAAGGAACAAAGTAGTCGTATAGCTATGAATGTTCTCAATTTCCAGTAAAATAGATGAGGGTTAAAGGCACACAGTACCTTGTGCTAGCAGAGCCCAGAAGGCTAAACTCTCAATGTGTATTATATGCTTATTTTCATATTGTGTTAGTAGCCACTTTGTGGTGCTAGTGGCAGCTGTTGCCTCACATTCCAGTATTTCACCCTGTTGTATTATGTGTTTTCAGCATCACAGCCTATGCCATTGGTGTGATTTAGGATTCAACACCTTGTTATTGGAAACCTTTATTATACAGATGAGCATTGATTAATGTTGTTAAACATTTTAGAAAAGCTCAGGACTTTAGAAGTTTATGCAAACCATTTTATTCTTAGAGTTGCTTTAGTAGAACAAACTAATTAGGTGAGAACATGTTCAAGTGACCATTCAGGCAGCTAGTTGGCCATATGAATGCTTGGACACAATTCCTACACACAAGTGCAAGTTGGGCGCATGGTTCACCCAAGTGTACAAATACATGTGCCTAAAAATGCAATTTTATTTTTAAAAGGTACATAATAGTGTTTTGATAGGTTTGTCTTTTTTGACTACTTTTTATTTATGTATTTAGAAAGAGAGAGCACATACATGTACAGTTAATTATTGTATGATAGTGTAAGTAGAGCAACTGGAAGTAAATGGCATGTTCAAAGCATAGTTTATACCTTAAAATACACTTTAAAATATTTTAATAATTGTTATCCAGACTAGACTCATCTGACTGTTTCCTTTTAGATTCTGAACTTTGCGGAACCCTCCACTCTACCTCCAGGCTGTTGGAATGTATTTTCTTTGAAACTCAGTGTGAAAGATAGTGTCATAAATATATCTTCCAGTGTAATTTTGGCTACAAATATAGGACTGATGTTTGCAATACCTCTTCAGATTTACTCAACTCTTTTCAAGGTATTATATGTGCATTACATACAATCCTGCTTCTTCTGTGACACTCCTGCACTCTTCAATCCCTACCTTCACCTACCCCCCACCCCAAGAAAAAAAAAAAAGAACAATAGTATTTAGTTTACAAAGTCAAACACTCAAAAGTTAGGAGTGACAGATTTAAGGTTACCTGTGCAACCTCAATTATTTCTCTGTGCATTGAATGTGTCAGGGGCCAAGTGGAGAAAGAGTATGTGAATAGGTAATTAAAAATGTATTATAATTGCAGCCACAAGGGCAGAATTAAAATTCTATTTCTTAAACGTTACTATTCATAGAGTCTGATAGTTTCCAGTTATCCACAGGTGTTAAACTTTTTGGAATAACAAATTTTAGACTAAGAAGTCGGAGAGTTCTGTGGGGCCACAATCAGATCTCAATCTGTGTGTTCCCGTCATGTGAAATATGAAGCAGTGCATCATCTAACCAGGAACAAGTGCTACAGCTCTTTAGGTTTACTGTTCTTAACGGTGACTCTTAATAGAATACACTTGATTGATAAGATATGTAATGGTCTTTGGCTATGTGAATTTAGATTTCCTGTGGTGTTGCCTTGTCATATATTCAGTTATTGTTTTTCAGCAGGGCGATTTTCATTTTGAAGCCATAGCACATTGTGATGTACATTATTACCTGGGAAAGTCTGATACAGGTAGGTTTTGTTTATTTTTAGGCATCTGATAGTCGTTTAATGTTATAGAAAAACGTTGCAGCTATATTTGTAGTATAAATATAGAAATTGTTAACAGGTAGCCATTAAAATATCCCACTTTCTAAAACTCCTTGTTTTTCTGAACAGCCTTTAGTAACTTTTATGCTGAATTTACTATATTGAGCATATCATTTTCCTGCATCCGTATCATGATTTTGCAGGGCTGATTGATTTATTGCCCATGTAAATAGCTGATGATGATACCAAGAATCAGTGAATATACCCATGCTTCCCTTTTTTTGTTTACCAAGAGAGTCTGTTAATATCAGTTACTGAAGTGCTGGGGCAGAGTAATAGAGCAAATGTTATCACAGTAAAACATGATACTCTCATTTTAGCAAATCTACATTGGCAAAGGAGTCTGTCTCTGGACCATTCCACATGGAATGTGGATTCTGAGCTTGCAAGTGAAGTGTATGAAAGATGGGAGAAAATGAAACATGGAGAAACATGCAGGTCTGTACAAAAGAGCTGATATTCCTAATGCCAGAAACCTACTACTAGGCTTCATATGTATGATCAGAAACACATTTTACTGTGCTGTAGTGTACTTAAAAGCAAGAATTAAAGTTTTCAGGCTTTACTGCCTAAAGTAATCTCCCATTTCAAGTCAGTGTCAGTGATAATTAAATGTTTTAAATGCCTGAGTTTTTAACGTTATGTAATTTCACCGTTGCTACTCACTGTGAAAGAGGTCATGGCATATTTTGCTGAATCAGTTATGGTAGATGGACAAATCCTCTCTGTCAACAGGTTGCACAGTCGTTTTTTCAGGGTCAGGGGCTTTGAATAGATTTTAATCTCTTTATTCCCATGCCTAATGGATGCGACATATTGGGGACATGAGGAAGGGAAGAATCTTTGAATGAGTAGTCCTTGCCAAGACAGCAAAGCTGTGACATCGACCTCTAGCTGATTTTAGGAAATGGAGCTCTATAAAAATAATTCATAAATTTATCAGTAGAAATGCAGATATTGAAAGGTCAAAGATAAGATTAAATCAATTGTTGATGTAGAGGTATAGTGAAAAGGCCATTGCTTTAAAAGATTTTTCCAAAAAGAGGATCAGCTGTGACAAAACTTCTGGGAAATTCATGTTCAGGATAAATACAGTTTCTCTTGTTTTAAACAAAACTTTTTTGTTTTTATCAATTAAACAGGAGGAATTTTTGGGGCATGACTCACTTTGCCCACCAGAAGAAACCTGAAGAAGAGTCATTTTCTTTCTTCTTGCCACGTTTGATGGCAGAGCCTGGCCTTACTTTGAATTTCAGTGCCACTGCACTTAAGAATAGTATGGTGAGGAAAACTATTCTTGAACTTTAAGCTTGTGTACTTTTAGTTTGTTGAAAATATTAGAACCACAGTTAAAATGGTTAATGCTCTATTTTTATTATATTGATGCTAATTTTAAAGAAGGCTCTTGAAAAAAATTTCATACAAGTACAGCACAAGGCTTCTGATATAGGTAATAAGTTTGGCTCCAGGACGACTGAAATTAGATACTTGAAAAATTTAATACTTTACACTAGAAGATTAAAGTTTTTCACTTGAAAACTTCTCTAGTAAATATTTGCTGTTAAAACTTTTACTGGATCCTAGAGAAGGTTGTACTTAGTGTAAAAGTATTGATAATGCTGTATGTTTGGAAATGCTGTGATGAGCTTTACTTTTAGTGTTGCTTATAATTTCCTGTTGATCTTCATCACATCACATCTCTGCCCTCCCATTTTTTAAAAGTGAGTATAGCACTTGCCAGAGATCCAGCCAGACATGTGACTGCATGCCTTTCCGTGTGGGAACAAGACGGATTCCATAAATTCTCACATGCCAGTTTTTTACCACAATTAACCTGCCTTTTTCTAGAACCAGTCACACGCAGAAGAGGAGCATGTGTGGATACTATCAGCTATCTTAATAAACAATTTATCCTAGCCATATTATCAGTCAGTACAGTGAGACATGCGATTTACCAGCATTCACCATATCTTTCAGTCAGGAAGAAGTATATTATACACTATATCTGTTTCTGTGGGAAAACTTTATTCGTAACTACTGGTGTAACCCAATATTAAATCCAAATCCAAATAAAAGGACCATATTTTAAGAAGGTAGGACTGGAAAGGCCCTCTTGGGCCACTGAGTCAAGTCCTTCATGTTCACAGGAAGCCATTTAACTATGGCAGGTCATTTACTAGTTAATAGAGGACCATGCCCCACATTACAGAAGTGGGTAAAGCCCTATGATCCTTGACAATCTGATCCAGTAAAAAATGCCTTCTGGTGATTATTTTGCCATGAGTACACAAGAAAAACCCACCAGCCAGGAACCTGAAAGGTTTTTAAGTATGGTACGAAGGATCCTCAGCCAAACCTGTCTAGTTTGGGGTTTGGCTTCCAGGGCTTTAGAGGAAGGTGAAAAAAAACCCAGAAGCCAAATCTGTTTTGAAAGCATAATCTCTCTTTTGCACGTAAAATTATTTACATACACTCGCTTGCTTTTACAAATGACATATGCTCAGCTTTTACCTGTAGTTTTAGTTCATATAAAATTTTAGTGTGTGGAAATAGAGATGAGATTTAAGCGCCTTGGAAAACGCAGCCAGTATTGCAAATGTTGAATTATTTTACCTTGTTATAGAATTCTAGCACACAAGTATGTAGTCTTAACTTATTTTTCTCAAACTGTTTAGGTAAAATATTTTATGCTAAGAAACCCCTCGTCCTTCCCAGTTATGTTGCAACTTCTGCCTCTTTCTTACTATCCTGATCCCCAAGCTTCACTGAGTCTGCTCAGCAAATGGTAATGACTATAGCTATATACCAGACTACTGTTATTCCTTTTAAATGCATTGTGTCTGTGTCTTAACATTCTTACTTATACTTATTTTAAGATTTATTTTCAAGCCTAAGCTTTGTAGGAGCTTGGTTGCCTTTAGTGTTATGTCTTATTTTTGATGGTGTACAATAATTAAGATCAGTTCACTTTGTATGTTGCATTTTGTTGTACATGACTAATGTATCCCAGCTAAGTTTATAGATTTAGCAACACACGCACCTGTCACAGGTAGAGCTGAGTTGAGGCTTAGCCACACCTACATTAGCTGTAGCCTCCCTCCCAGATCAAGGCAGAATGTCTGCCTTGAATGTGGGGTCACATTATGGGTCGTCGGACTTTGAAACAAATCTGCCAGGAGTTATAAAGGGCAACCTAAACTCGGGAGAATAGGAGGGCTGTCTACACAGAAAGACTGTACGCTCTCAGGCAAATGGCCTCTGGAATGCAGCTGCAGAAAGTAGGAATCATCTAGGATAGTCTGGAGGAAAGCTTCAGTAAAGAAATGGCTTATTAACTGTGTCCTAAGTGTCTTGTGAGTTAGTTGGGAAAGCTGATAGAAATGTTTGTGCTTCTTGTACTTTATGTAAGAAACAAAACCCCAAGAAAGAGGGTTATTTGATGCTTAGGTAAAGTTCCTGGTGGGAGTCCATAGGAGAAAAATGAGGTAGTGGATAACTGAAGACCAACCAAGTATGTCCCTGCTATAATACCCAACTTTTAAAGAATGTGTTATTCTCTAATTGTACTCACTTAGACAACACATTTATGTACTTTATAGCCTGTAGAACTACTTGCATACTTTCAATTGGATATGTGTGTACATGCCTTGGTGATTTTGAACCCATTTTTTTAAAATTTCAATATCACAATTTTTAAAATGTACTCAATCTAGTAACTATATTTATAGGAACTCCAAGAAGTTAAATTTCCACAAATGTCCTTTCCAGTTTTTTAATAATTTTTCTTTGCATGTGCACACATCTTTGATTACTACAGTTCTAGTATTTTGTGAAAGAAAATTAGTTTTAAACAAATTTGCAAACCTTTATGGAAAGGGAGCTTTGAATTCTTGTTTATAAATACTTAACCATAGACGCTTCATGCTAAAGCAGTACTAATTTTTAAAGAACAGAAATTTATCTAGTGACTTACAAATAGCAAAAGTGCCAAATATCAAATATTTGCTGTGGAATTTCTCCCAAGATTTTGTTGCAGTAAATTAGGTCAAATTACAAAATAACTTAGAGAGAATCATAGTTACTGGACATGAACAGAAAGAGGAACAATGTTTATTGAACAAATAATTCAAATTATATTGGCTCCAACAATTACATGGGCAGTCAAAAGGTGTTCTGCTTTCCTGTTTCAGCTTGCTTAGAAAGTACAGTTGATTGTCTTACAATCATTTCCGGTCTTTTATATTGAGGGGAAAAAATAATCTAAACATCAACCTATTCTTCAAATGCACAGTACTCCCATGAAATGTATTTATTATAGTATATTCCTCTTAATACACAGATCCACCAAAATGTAATTAAAAGTATTCTTCTCTAACGAGTAAGTCCCAACATATTAAAATATGTTCTTTTCTCAGAATGTATATGCAATGTTGTTTTGACAAGCTGGGTTTAAATGGCCAATATCTCATCTCCTTTTATTTAGGTTTGGCATAAGTATGCAAGCTATTAATTACACAACCACTGAATTCAGGCTCTTGGATGAATGTCCACACAGGGTGAGATGCCTAATTTTTAAAGAAGAAATATCTGACAAGTTGTGATAATATAAACACGTTTCTACCGTGTTATGTTTAAACTGTTGCAGAGTACTGTTTAAAATAATATGATTTCCCCCCCCCCTCCTTCATTATATTCAGTATTTTTCATTTAATATCTTTTCAGATTGCTGGGCAGTCTTTTAGTTTTTAAGTGGAAAATGTGGGCATGTGAAATGGCCTTAGGTTGAAATTACCTATCAAGATTTTGTGTGTGCACTCAATGCTTATCATGCAGTTTAGTTTTTGAGGGCAGGGTTGTATTACATTTCCTGATATCTGTTAGTCTGCCTGATGAGATATTTTCTTCAGTAAAAAATAACTGAATTGGCTTAGTATTTATGTGGAGACATCATCTCTGCTCTGTCTCAGCTTTTTGAATGATCTCAGAAAGATTTGTTTAATTCTCTCCCTCGTTTCCTTGTTTTACTTTATCACACAGATGTTGTAGGTTTAGATATGATTACACAGCAAAATTCAGGTGCCATTTATTTCAGAAGTAGTATTTGGAGGGGAGGGAGCAATTCTTATATCCTTACCTGTAAGAACATTTTGAAAGAGAAGGGTTGGAGTGTTGTTGTAGCCAGTATGGTCCAGGAAATGTATGATGCAAGAGGGTTATTTGTGATATGTTTTATTGGACTAGCAGTATAATTGGGAAATGTGTTTGGACAAACTTTGGGGCATTTGGTAGGCGGGGGTTGGAATGGGGATGGGGCCGAATCCTTGTTTTGGATTTCAGTAAACGCAGTAATATGTTAAGGAGTTTGTGGTGTTTCCAGTGGTTCAAATGATCTTGCTAACTGCCAGCAGTTTCTCCATCAGTTAAATCAAGTTATAATGTCTAATGCTGTATGTATAATGGTTGTCACATTTTCTTATACCATCAGTACACTGCCGTTTTCAGTACTTTGCATACTGCTTCAGGATTTCTAGAATATGAGCGTTTTATAAAAAATAATTACTTTTTCCATCAGAGCAATGAATTCTGCTAAAAATGAAGTAATCTTCATAACAAAAGAAATGGTATAATGTGAACTTTTGATTAACACACAACTTTATGCAGTGCTTTATTTTGGAATTGGTTTGATTGAATAATTTCCATAAAATCAGTTGAATTGCAGTAATTGCACCTTACCATCAAATTTTATTTTAAAACAGTACTAATAAGTGATGTATTGTTTTCTTCATTGGGGTGGTTTTAATATTGTGCCAATAAATAAATTAATGCATGTTTGTTTAGGATATACATCAGGAGGAGGTTGCCAACAAGAAATCCAGTTCTGAGGTGCTTCATTTACATTTGCAACCACTGGAAACTAAAAGAGTTGGTGTGGTTTTTACACCAGTTGATTATAAAAGAGTAGCCTCTCTTATACTCATCAGGTATGTGAGCTTTTCAGATTTTAGCTTCTCTTATACTCATCAGGTATGTGAGCTTTTCAGATTTCACCTAGTTTATGAGCAATAATCAAACATTGACTTCAGAAAATTACTTTGCCAACTATTGTGGCAGAGATGCACGTTGCACACATGCAATTTAAAACACCTTCTTTCCAATATAAAAATATTAAACAAATCTGTGATCTACCTTTTGCTCTTGTATCTATTTAAAGGGACACTGTCATAACTAGTGTTCTAATTGGAATTACTTTTGTGTGTGATAAGTGTGTTCAAAGACTCAGATAAATATACATTTCCAGTGACTGTTATTGTGGGTTAATTCTCTCCCTTTCCCATCAACTTCATTTCTGTGTAGACGGAGGATGATTGTTACTAATTTGACTCTCTCTCTTTAATGTGATTCTCAATTTAGTCCTTGATGTTGCAAGTTAGGAATCCAGTCAGTGTAGCATGATGATTTAGAGTACGTTGGTTCTTGGAGAACCAAATCCAGGGATCTGGAGCTCAGCAGGAGTACCAGGATGCATTGGATATGTCTGCAGAAAGAGAGATCTTGGGGCAGAAGGTGAAGGGAGGGGGAAGAAGGGAGGAGAGAAGGAACTCTACCCTCCTTTTACACTGGCTGAGGCCACTTCCATCCATTAGCAGGACCTCTGGTCCTTTTGCTGTTCTTTACTCACTGTCTTGTAGAGGGCTTCCCAAGGAACTTGGCTCACCAGTCCCTGAGATAATAGTGGGGGATTTCTCTTTTGCTCATAAATGCAACTTTAGTAGTATATATCCTGACCTGTACAAAGTGAATTTCATCCAGAATGTGCACAGTGATTCAGCTGCTGGGGTGCTGGGATGGCACCTGTGCCAAGGTGCTGATTTAAAGAGGGAGTAGTTTAGCTAAGTTTTCTCTCTTGTTCAAAATGTGGTTTTCTGTTTCTCTTGTTATGGCAGAAATAACTTAACTGTCCTGGATGTGGTCAGTGTAGAAGGCTTTGGAGCCAGAGAATTACTGAAAGTAGGTGGGAGGCTACCTGGTGCAGGAGGATCACTCCGATTTAAGGTACCAGAAGCTACACTTATGGACTGCAGACGACGTGAGTAAGAAAAAGCAGGCTTCTAATTTTGTAGCAAGTCAATTATTTTACAGCCACAGCTGGCAATGTTTTCTAGTGGCAGGCTGGAATGGCCTAGCTCAAGTCTGAGATGAGCTGGCACCAAGATCCAGTCATCCTTTAGCTGCTGCTGCTTTTCCCCATGGCCACTTTTCTCTGCTGTCTAGCTGTAACGCAGCCTGGGAAACCTACCTGCCACCTGGCTTTGGCATGGTGCGGCATAGGGATAGCCCATGCTGGCAAATCCCCAGCTAGGTCTGGCCCACAAGCCGTAGGTTGCCATCCCTGTTCTTCAGCTATATTGGTGTAACATAAAAATAGCATAAAAGACTAAAAAGTATTTTTTGATCAAAAGTAGTCAATGAAAAGGAATTCTATTTTTTGCATTGTCATCACCAAAATTCCTAACTCATCAAGAAATTCATGTCTGCCCCTGAAATTCAGAAATTTGCTCTTGATAAGCTAGTGCAGCAGAAATAGAAATTGCAGTATATGTGGTAGATTAAAAAAACCCCAAAAACGAAAAACAAAAAGCAGACTATTTTGTACAAGGCTGTATTTTTAATATTACTAGCAAGATAATGAACTACCATAGAAATAAACTTGATTTTATTTACTTTTTCCTTAATATTACTAAAGCATTAAATAAAGTAATTGTCAGAGTAAAATCTAGACTGTACAGTAAGAAATATGTATTCTGTTTTGTCAGAACACAAGATTTCTGATTTCACACATTCTTTGGACTGCCCGTAAAAATACTATTTATCAAATGAAAAAGTCAGTGCTTACTTTTGTAATTTTTTTGTAAATTTTAAAATTGTATGCAATAACCTCGGAAAAAGTTAGTATGAAAAGTTACATTGCTGGAAGCCAGTGATTCTCAACCAAGATGCCACAGTACTCTGGGGTGCCTTGACATCTTTTCCAGGGTATTACACCATGTTAGCACTCTTAGGTGTGCAAACACAGCTCACAAGATGAACCCAAGATTTCAAATAAGAATCTGTAGTGTTAAAACCATTCTGATCTGTTATGGGCTTTCTGAGTTGTTTGCAACAGAAGAATTTCTCTTATTATTTTTCTGTAGTCAAAAAATTAGTGAAAACTAGGAGCTTGCATTTTCCAAGGGGTGCCTAGAGTCCTAAGGAGGTTGAGAGCCACTGCTGGTAACCACTGTGTTGTAACCACATGCTAATTTTGTTTCTTTCAGAACTAAAAGAAAGCAAGCAAATTTTATCTATTACAAAGAATTTCAAAGTGGAGAATATTGGGCCTCTTCCCATAACTATATCATCTATGAAGATAAATGGATACAGTTGCCAAGGATATGGGTTTGAAGTGTTACATTGCCAAGAATTTTTCCTAGCCCAAAACTCTTCTCGGGAGATCAGCATTGTGTAAGAATTGATTTTTTTTTTTTTTTTTTTTTTTTCCTGATAAGTTAATTTTAGTGGAATCTGAAATGACAAAAGAACCTCACTAGTAACCACTTCACTAATACCCACAAAACCTCCCCTCTATTCGGTACATTACACTGAAAGTAGTATAATGAGGTCTTAGTACTAAGTTATATTAGTACAAAACATACTATATTACATCGATTACTACATATTTACTAATTATGAAGTTCTATCAAATTATGTTATTGTATTACAGTAATTTTGCTTCAGTGTTCAGTGAATATTACTATCTTCTGACTGAAAAAGTGAGTTGCACTTCAACACTGTACAGGTTATTTCAATAAAATTACCTGAATCTAGAAGGTCATGCCAAAGTAATTATAGTTTTAAAAAGACAGAGAGACAAACCCTCTCCTATACAGATGCTAATGTCTATGTACAAATAGGCAGTTCTCACTCAGTCTTTTTTCATATTACTAAAATTAGAATTTGTGTAATATAAATCTGTGATCATATTGGAACTAAATCTTACCATAGAAAAATGAACATTGGCCTGTTTTATATTCGTGACAGGTTTACCCCTGATTTTACTTCTTCATGGGTAATCCGGGAATTTACTTTGGTGACTACTGCTGGTTTAGAGTTCCACTTCACACTCAATGTGACCCTTCCTCACCATTTGTTACCCTTGTGTGCAGACGTGGTGCCAGGACCCAGCTGGGAGGAATCTTTCTGGAGGCTCACAGTTCTCTTTGTTAGGTAATACACTTGCTACTCAAATCCTGATTATCAAGGCTTAGTAAAAGATTTGTAATTGTTTTTGGTTTGCATACACTTTCAGCAGCTGGTACCAGTCTTTGCAGAATTTTGAGAAATTCCAGTTCATAAAGAGGGTCCATTTTTTCAAGACGCTAAGTGCTGGGCAAAGCGTGATTAAACTGTATTGATAGTAAGTTCTTTAGGAAAGAGACCTGTCCTCTGTGTCCTCAAGCCAGTGGTTTCCAAAGGGTGTTCTGTGGCGTCTGGTATGCCACAAAAAATGGTCTGGATCGGGCTCCAGCTAGGCCAGCCCTGTCCAGAAAGGTCAGGCCCATGGGCTGAATCCAGCCTGTGGGCTCGTGAGTAAAGTGTGCCCTCAATTTTAATCTGGAAAAAGCATGCCCCAAGTATCAAAAGTTTGGGAAAACACTGCCCTAAGGTGTCATATGCTCCTGTGACAGTGCTTTAATAAGTAATAAACTAATTTTCTACTGCATCTTAAGTCTAGAAGCTATTCTAAAATTTGCCAGCAGGCTGTGTGATCTGTCTGGGACTCCCATGTTGAGTAAGAATAATTAGAACAAGCGACAGACTAGGTGTTTCCACATGATGAGAAGGAAGGCGTTGGTGTCAGCTAAGTCCACTGAGCACTGTCCCATACTAGTGAAATCCCCAGCAGTAGACACACGGGTGGTTTCTGTGGCTGACTCACAAATGGAGCTGTATTTCTAGATCAGCTTTTAGTTGCATAAAGCAACCACATATTTTTAATATTTCCCCTATATTTTTAACACTGTTAATGCAGATTTTTGAGAAACAAGTCTGTGGTTAGACGGTGATTCAATATATGCGATTGAGCTGATTTGAATAAATATTAGATATTTAGGTAGGGTTACTTGTACTATTTGCATTGAAATTAAAGGGCCTAAAGTATGGTACAGCTGCTAAGGCTCTAACCTCATAATTTTAATTTTACTATTCTGTGTATTCAGTAACATTCCATGTCATGTAGTATAATTTGAATACTGTACCCAGTGCAGGTGATTTCTAGTAGCTTTTTCATACTACTTTTGAAATCCTATTACATTTTGTCACCTTTTAGAATTGATTGGATGTGAAGGGTAACGTCATATTGATACTATTGCATGCCAGTGCAAGTTTATTCTGGCATCTGAATACACATTGTGTTTCTGTTTGTATCATATCAAAACCAAAAGTATTTGAGTTGAAAAGCAAGGAAATTCATCGTTCAGGCTACCATATGTGATTAATGGATGCTACATGAATATTAAATACAGCCATTTTTCATTAGTCAGGTATTTCGTCTCCTATTAGTAGTCTGTGCTGACTGTTTTAGAAGGTGGCAAAAATACCTACAGCTCACCTAACTAGTTGTACAAAATATACCGTGGGTGGTTGTGGGGAATCCTTTACGATTTCAACCTTGACCAAGGAAGCATCATGGCATTCCTAGTAAGTTTTAAGTCAGTATCTTCTCCAGAAAGGCATGAGAGATGGAAATTATGACATCAGAGAAAGACAGAGCAAGCAACCTGACAGACCAGTCATTCTGCCTTTCTGCAAATACATATGTATGGCCAAATCAAGTGAAGTATATATTGTTGTGTGCTGTACAGGACTTAGATTGTTTTGAGACTCCTGTTGCCTATCATTGCAATATAACACTTGTCTGTCCCTAGTTTAGCTTCAAACTACAATTTATCTTTTCTTTTTTATGAGTGAATAATTATGTACTTTTTATGTTGTAAAGCAAATAATTTAGGCTTCCCATCCTCCCCCTCCCTGAAAATGATCATAACTTGCAAGGAAGAAAAGGCAAAAATTACTTCCAGAAAAGTTATTAATTTTCATTGTATTTTTTAAAACCATACCCTTCTTCTAGCTTAGTGTCAGAATTTATCAACGGAAAGTTCAGAAAACAAATTCTGGTTATGAGCCTGATCTCTTTGGTTGACTTACGAGGGCACTAATATGCATTGTTTTCTTTTTCAGTTTGTCGCTGCTGGGTGTGATTCTAATAGCCTTCCAACAAGCACAGTATATTCTTGCAGAGTTCATGAAATCAAGACAGAGGCCAAACCCGAGTCCTTCGGCACAGCAGAACAGCAATCCTGTTGACATAATCAGCTCTGATTCCTACAAGTAAAAATATTCTTCCTTTTGTTCTTTTGAAGTGCTCTAATTGGCGCACTGTTTTGCAGGGAACAATTTCTTATACTTTGGTATTATCATCAAACTCGTTTTTTGGGAACCACATCAGTGATATGTCAAAAAGGGTAGAAACACTTCATCTTTGCTGTGTTTGATTACTGTGTGATTGAAGTATAACTTTCACCTAAGTTAGGAATGGAGAGCAGTTTGCAGGGAATCAAGTGTTACCTTCTGTACTTAGGTGGTGATTCACCCCAGCATTTAAGCACATATTCAAATCAGTTTGTGAAGTTAAGTTCACAATGAACTCCTAGTGAAAACAGAATATATTTAGAAGGTTGAATGAATCAGTCCTAGCTCAGGGTGATCACCTAGAGAAATATTAACTGCACATCTTGATTAATCTCTATGAATATCTTGATGGGTGATGCTTCAGTTAGATTGTATTTCTTGTAAGTTTTTGATTGCTAATATTTTAAACAAGGCTTATTTGAGAGGGGTGAAGTCTAAAGTAAAACTAAATGTCTTTAATAGGATCAGTTATCTGAAATCCAAGTGTTTACCAAATGGGAAATTCTGCCTTTGGCATATAAGCAATCCTAGGTTGTTGAGGGCCATATAGAAAATACTAGAATATATTAGAATATTAGGAAAATAAGAATTATTAGGACTATATAAAATATTGGCATATTAAAAATAAATAGAAAAATTAGGAACTTAGTGGGGATCTGGATGTCTGTTGCTAGGTGATTGGTCTGTAGGGTGGTCATCATAGAGGACATTCTGGTTTTCTGCTACTCTACTGATTCTGGTTGTCCTCTACTGATATGAAACCTGATGCCTTTATGTCTTCCATTTTTCTCTTCAGGAGAAAAATCGATATAAAGGTGTCGGTTTTTGTATCAACAGAGGACAGAGCAGCAGAAAACCAGCATGTCCTCTATGATGACCACCTTACTGGTCTGAGAGAGAGAGAGAGAGGAGGCCAGAAACTTGTAGGAGGTGTGTTGGGGTGATTCTCTGTCTGGAAACATGGAGGGTTGGTGCCTCAGATCCATCTTTCAGTGTAGAAGGGTGAGAAAATATCTGTGTGTAAGGAAGAGAAGAACCACCACTAACATCAGCAGAGGCACTGATGTTGGATCTCCGTTGCTATAAAAAGGAGGGGGCTGCTGATGGTGTTTTTCTGTACATGCTCTAGGACCCTGGAACTTTGTTCACCAGGATTCAGAATCAGTGGCATAACTAGGGTGGGTGACTGGGGCAGCCACTCTGGGAATCACAATAGGGGCAGAAAAAAACTGGCTACAGCCACACAATCATGCCAGTAGTGTACTGGCAACTGGAAGTTGCCATTGCCCTTGTATATGGCAGCTGCCTGAGTTTCCAGCCACTTCATTATGCCTCTGTTCAAAATATATTAGGGGCCATTTAGATCAGCTGTAGGCACTGTTGAGTTGAATAGTGCTTTGAGAGAGGATTGAGAGTATGATCCTTGGATAACAGGGTTTTTGTAGGAGGTTGGCTGAGTTATTTGTCCCTATCCAAATGTTTGCTTTTTTTAAATTTTGAATCCTTCTAGGGTAATTTGTTATAACATTTAATTGTTAAAGTGCCCAGAGCCCAGGATCACTTTTATTGTTTAAATCTAAAAAAGTAAAAATCCAGAGCCCTGGGCAGCCACATGCATCTAGGGCTGAGGCTGCTTATAGATGTTAAAAAAAACAAAAAAACAAAACTGCACTTTACTGGAAGAAGCGGCGTGTTCATTGGACCTGGCTGCACAGCCTCAATGGGGCTTTTTGGTACTTTTATCTAATAGCTCAGGGGTTTTCACCTTTTTTACTAAGTATACCCCGGGGGGGGTGGGGGGGGTGCGTGCGTGGCCGGATGTGGAGTGGCAGCAG